TTATTAGCTATCAGGGAAATGCAAATTAAAGTCACAGTGATATAGGCCTGTACACCTATCAGAATATCTAAAATTAAAAAAGCAATAGTATGCAGAGAAATTGGATTACCATATATTGCTGGTGGGAATGGCAAAAGGAACAGCCATTGGGGAAACTAGTTTGGCAATTTCTTATAAAAACAAACATGCACTTACCATACTCCTGGACCTTTATCCCAAGGAAATGAAAATTTATGGTCATACAAAAACCTGTTCATAGAAGCTTTATTAGTAATAGCCCCAAACAGGGAACAGCCCAGATGTCCTTCACTGGGTGAATGGTTAAACCAACTGGTTCATCCATGGCTTGTAATGCTGCTTGGCAATGAACCATTGATGCATGCAGCTGCTTGTTAGCAACTACTTGGTTGAATCTTCAGAGATTTAAGCTGAGAGGGAAAAAGCCAATCCCAAAGGTTTACATACCATGTGATTCCATTTATATAACATTCCTGAAATAATACAAATGGTGATGGGGTGGGAAGGAGATGGATGTGGCTATTAAAGGGCAATATCCCTATGGTGAGGGGATATTCTGTATCTGACCATTTTGATGTTGCTATCCTCAGTGCTATTGTATTGTGTATTTGCAAGATGTTTCCATTGGGATGAATTGGGTAAAAGGTACATGGAACTTCTGTATTTTTTCTATGAACTTGCTTGTGAGTCTACAATTATGTCAAAATAAAAGGCTTGATTTAATAAAGGGGAGAAGAAGCTGCTCTCCTGGGCCACAAAGTCACATTAAACCCCTGAGCTTTTCCCATTATTCTATCTTGCCTCCTAAATCTTAGCACTTTTAGAGCACTCGACTGAGGTTGTCTGCAGAGTGGTGGGTAAGGGTTGGGCTCTGGGGTTGGAGAGTTTTGTATTTGAAGTATATGGATTTAAAAAACAACAACAAACTTTCCTTCTGCCTTTCTACATTTTTCTGGCTGGACTAGTAATCAAATTAACATGAGACAGAGTAACAGGAGAAAATTTATCATGTGTGTACACAAGAGGGTCCATGAGAATATGAGACCTGGGATAGATCTGCAGTTAAGGCTTCTGTGCCATCTGGAGCTAAGAGAAGGGAGGTGGCTGTGGATTGGGACCTCAGAGTATAGGATGGCAATTCACCCATAGATAGAAAAGCAAAAGTTTTTGTTTTGTTTTGGGCAAACTACTTACCTCTCTTCTCCAGCATGGTAATTTTTCCTCATTGGTTATAAAGACTTCGTTATAAAGATTGCAGGAGATGTGGGAGAGAATGGAAAGTTATCGGCATACTAAGTGCTGTGTAATTATCAATTTTTATGATTATGATTTATATTACAAATATGATCTAGAGCTGTGAGCTTGGTGGTGGTGGAGCCACAACTGAAACTCTGGGTGGTTCGTCATTCAGTGCTCCCTCTTCTCTGCTTTGCTGTCTAATTGGTTAGTTTTCATTCATCCTTTAGTGTCTGCATGTATAGTCGGAGTCGTTAGTGAGGAATTTATAAGAACACTTCCCAAGAGTTTTTTTTGAACTGCCAAGTCCAAAGATTTAGGATGTCTTGGTGCTGAAGTAATTGGCTCTCTTAGTCTTGCATTATAAGAAGTTCCTGTTCAGAGTCTAAGGTTGAGGACCGTGAGAGGAACTCTCACATTTAGGTAATTGCTTTGGAATAACTTACCTTTTAAAAACGTACGCTATTTGACTTCTTCCTTCCCTCACCATACTGTTCTGAGAATCTCATTATCTTCACAGTTGTATTTTCTGAGTTTCTCCTTTTAACTGTTTTCTGGAGTACCATCACTTAATACTGTTTCTTTCCAGTTTATCAACTAGTTGGTGTCCTTATTAGCACTGAAGAGTTTCTTAGGAATACAGAAATGATTTCAATCTTACGAGAATACAGAAGTGATTTAGTCTTAGGAGAATACAGATATGATTTACTTTTCTACCTGTCACAAGAGTTGAAACATCATGGAACTGGCCTTAGTCAGTTACCTGAAGCAAGCTCTACACTCTTTACTGCTATAATATTACTGCCATGATATTGCAGACAGTTCATGACTGGGGATTAAGTCAGAAAGTATCATTAATATGTTGAATTAATGGCAAGATAGAGTGCTTTAATACCTCCTTAAATGTAACGTTTGTTGTTTGTTGTTGTTATATGAATTGGATGGCTTTAGCCTTGAACAAGTCAGAAGTCTACAGTTCTCTAATATTGATAAAATAGGTGTCTTTTAAGTTCTAAAAAATAATCCCCCTTCTTCTGGTAGTTAACCAGATAATTATACTAATATTATAATTTTCTTTTCACAGTGTGGAGTTTTGAAACAAAAGAACTAACAATCTCCCCCCTTCCTCCAAATAACTGAGAGAACATTAGGAAATAGAATTTCAAATGTATTTCCATTTTGTCATAAAGTAATTTAATTTTTTTCCATCAGCGAGAGGTCAGTTACACTATGTCATTTCTGTTGTTTAAACCAGTAAAGGAGTAAGAAGGAAATGTTCTCTTATAAGGGCTTTGTTCTCTGAAAGAACTCTCTAATGACACCTGAGGTTCTAGGGTTATCTCTTGTGGTCTCAAAGGTTCTCCTGATTGGTTATTGGACTGCTGTACAGTAACCATTGTGCTGAGCTTTTCAACCATGGTTTTGAGCTCTCCCTTTCAAATGGAGATTAGAGAGAAGTAAGCAACTTTCACTTATTCTCCCCCATGATTGAGCCCAAGTTGATTCAGGAGGCTTTGTATTCTTCATTTAGCCAGTCATTAATCAGAAGTTACTAACTGCCTTCTATCCAGCCCATGTTGGCTACCATGAAAACTGCAAAAGGACCATCAGACAATTCCCAGACCTCCAGACCTCCAGAAACTTGCCCTCTATCCCTCTTTTTTTTTTATCCATTCTCTCCCCTCTTCTGTCAACTTCCCAAAGAATTTATGCCTCTAAGTGAAAGATACTATGCAAGTAATAGAACAATTAATCAGAATACAGAAACATGACCACCTTTCTAGTATAAGTTGGTAGGCTCCAGGAAGAAAGGGAATTATTTGGTTTATGTAGCATTCCTTGTCTGACCAGAGAAAGCATTATAATTTTTCCATGCACATGGAATCTTTGGAATAAAAACTAAAGATCGAATTTATTGGTTACAAAGTTAATAATGACTTCAGTGCATTTTAAAACAGAGTATTAATATTTGGAGGTAAGGGTGAGGGTGAGAGTCAGTCTTGCTTACTGTGCTGCCCCAGGGCTCAGCACAGTGCCTATTCATAGTAGGTATCTGATATATTATTGTTCATTGACTAGTTCAATGAAAGTGAACTATTCAATGGACAGTTTGCTCTGACTTCCAATAACAATGAAGACACAGTATCTACTCCATGCCTTTGAATGTTGTGTTCTCTCACCTTGTCTACCTCCTTCCCACCTATCAGGTTTCAGATTTAAATCAAATTCCTTTGTTTTATTATCTAGAGCACTTCCCTCAGATGGAGAAGATACTCTCCTGGTGGGAGTATCTGGCTTTTCCCACCTCCTGTAGTAACTTCCAGGAGGTGTAGATCATGTTTGACTTTGATCACCTGAGTACTCCAGCCCCTAGCCTAGTCCCTGGCACTTATTAGATACTCAATATGTAATTGTTAAGTGAATGAAAGTAACCAATTGCCAAACAAGGTAGTGAGTTTTATTTTTAATGAACTTAAAAATTTTTAAATTCAATTTATTTAAAAATTTTAAAAGTTCACCCATTTCTTTCCCACCCCTTGCACCCACCAATCTGTTTTCTCTATCTCTGAGTTTATTGTTGTTTTCTTGGTTCCATATAGAAGTTAAATCATATGGGATTTGTATTTCCCTTTTCTTCACATCCTCACTAACACTTATCTCTTTCCTTTTTCATAATAGCCACTATAACAAGTGTGAAGTGATTTCCCATTGTGGTTTTGATTTGCATTTCCCTAACGATTAGTGATATTGACATCTTTTCATGTACCTGTTAGCCATCTGTAGGTCTTCTTTGGAAAAAAAGTTATTCAAAATTTCTGCCCATTATTTAATAGGTTTTTTTTTTCTATTGAATTGTATGAGTTCTTTGTATACTTTGGAAAACAGCCCCTTATCAGATATATGATTTGCAATTATTGTCTTCCTTTCAATAGGTTGCCTTTTATTTTGTGGATGTTTTCCTTGCTGTGAAAATGAGGATAATGGATGAAAATGAGGATAATGGACGAAAATGAGAATACTGTTAAACATAATAAAAGTGATCGTGATGATTTAAAAAAAAAAGTGATAGCAACTGTTCTTGAATTCTAACCATGTTCCAGAACCTTTCCATAAATTTCCCTCCTCATAACTCTGTGAGGAAGGCAAAGTTATTATCCCCATTTTACCAATCAAGGACATGAGCATGACCAAATTTGATGATTTGGGTAGAATGATGCACTCATTTGATTGTAGAGCCCAGGTTTCCAATACACATTCTTAACCACTATGCAAAATTGCCTCCTTATGCTAGTTTGCTAAAGCATCCTCAATTTATGACCCAGAGGAATGAAATGATAGTGTCCTTATTTGTCCCGAATAGTGTGATGTTATCTTGTGACAACCCCAAGCAGCAATAGTTCCCCAACATTCCATTGTAAGGCTTCAGGATGTTAGTCAGGAGAAGAGAATGTAGAGTCAGAAGCCAGATGATGGTTGTTTTCATCTTCAGGGTTGAGTGGGATGCTTTTTGCCCATCTTGCTTGGTGCACAGCCCTTTGCTTAATGCCCTTTGCTGTAGTTCCACTTATAAAGAGTCCTCACGTACTTCCTTTGTTCATTTGAAAATCCAATGCTTATTGCAGTGTAGAGCGACCATATTGTTATAATTACTTCTTCTTCTTTTTTTTTTTTTTTTTTTTTTTTTTTTTTTTTTGCATCAATCAACCTTTAATGTCCAAAAGAGGCATGGATGCAGAGCATAGGAGATGTGGCAGGGTCTCAGCCCCAACTCCAGAAATGAGGGAGATGAACACAAACTGGACATTTCCAACTGGCCACACAAGTCTGGGAGGACAGGGGAAAACACAGATTTGAACATTCATAAAAGGGTTTGGAACAGGGAACTCACTCATCATCCCAATTCCCACCCTCCTGTCAGCATCAGAAAGAAAGCTCGGCAAACACTAAATTCTTGGAGAGGGGATATTCTCCTGCCTTCCCACCAGCCCAAGGATGGAGTTGGAAAAAAAAAAAAAAGTGAGCTAGACCCAAATCCTACCAGTGTCAACCTTACACAAGAGTTTTAAATGCAATTTACAAGAATCAGCAGCTGTCAGCAATGACTCCCCCCACTCATACCCCATCCCATCTCTATTTGATCAACATATAAGGTTTCCCAGCTCTCTCCTTGGAATCTTCTCCCACCAGCAGCTCTGCTCCATCTCCTGATACCAGCTTCATCACTGTAAACTTCCTCCCAAGTACCTGACAGCTCTTATCACTTCCATCCCTACTGCCAACAAGAGGTGACAACCAACCACAAAGTCACTTTCCCTCTCCACCGAGAGCCACCTTCTGGACAGATGGCAGCGTGGTCAACTCATTGTGGGCTATCCTCCTAAAATCTTCCCGGAGCACACAGCCATAGCACAGTATCTGGGCAAGGTGGTTGGGGGGTGGGGGTGGGGGTGGAGTGCAGGGGCTGTTCCATGTCTTCACCTCCCCAAAAATTTTAACATAAAAGGCTCACTTAGAACTAACTGTGTACCCTAACTAACTACCCATAAACCCTAGAGATTCCATACCATCCTGCCCTTCCCTCCCCTCTACCCCAAACCAAGACACACACACACACATACACACTGACAAACACACACATATACACAGACATTGATTTGGTTTGACTGCTAAGACCTAACTAAGGAACTACAGTCACCAGAAATTCCCTTGCCAGCCAACTAACAGGGGCTAACATATTGTTATAATTACTTCTTATAAGTTAAACAAAGCAAGTGTAGTAATTCTGAACAATCTACTTTCCATGTGTGGAATCATGTTTATCATCACCCAAATCCAAAGGAAAAAATAGCACTTTTATGTCAGTAACTTATTCATAACATCCCTTCCACCTGGTTTTATTGATAGAAACCAACTCAAATCCCAACTGCAGCATGACAGACACAAAGGGATAATTTTAAATATTAAGGCTGTGAAGCAATGGAGGCGGATCCAGAACTGAATTGGTACTTTCTGCCTCTGAGTTGCCTTATGTAAAGGCATGGGTATAGCCAGATTTAACTTAATGGATTTGGCTAACTGATGCTTCAAGGCCTTAAGGTCTCTCAAGTAAGTGTACATCTGAGGCATTTTTAAACACACAATATTGACCCAATCTTTTGGGCTTTCACTTTATGATTACCGAGCTTTCCAGTAAACTTTTTTCCTCCATGGATTCTCTCCCCAGGGAGAGAAGGAACATTCTTCATACTTCCAGCCTCTTGAAAGAATGACCTCCTCGTCTCAAAGAGGATCTTTTGGTTATTAGCAGCAAAAATTAATTACCAGAAAGCTAAGTGTTTTTTTTTTTAAAGCAAAAAAATTTCATTTTGGAGGGAGAAAATGTCTAATACCAAGTCCTAGAACATATAAGGTTAATGGCAAACTTGCTTCAAGGAGAGAAATATGAAAAGCAAAATTGCTAAGTCGGTTGAAGAACTAATCAAGCATATTGTTCCCTTGATTCTAGAAAATTAAAATGAGCCTTTTGGAAAGATTAAAAATATGTCCAGGGCACACTCTCAGTTTACTTTGAAATGTATGTTCCCTCTTCCCTGTGGTTCCAGAGGCACTGGCATGTGCTGGAGAGGGTGGTGATAGGTGGCCTTCTGTTCTCCTGCCGAGGCCCAATGTCTTTTCAAGTGACAGATGGTTCCCTCTGCTGGCTGGACTCAAATTCAGCCCTCTAAGCTGAAACAACCTGGGAGGAGTCACCACCAGTTTCAGTGATCATCAAAACATAGTTTTGAGTTTCATTCTTACAACACTAACCATCTGTGACCATTGAAATGCAGTCAAGAACTGGTATTCCACTTCCTTTCTCTTCCCTCCCTCCACTTCCTTTTTCCCCCATCCCTCCTTCCTTCTCTTCCTTCTCTTCTTAGCCAGGTCTCCCACTCTCCCTTCTCTGCTTCAGCCACATTGGCCTCCAGGCTTTGCTGTTCCTGGAACACACCAAGCATTCTCCTGCCCTGGACCTTTGCATCTCCCATTTATTCTACCTGGAACTTGCTTTATCCAGAGGCATCTTCTACACCTTATTGAATCTTTCCTGATGTTACCCTCTCAGTGAAATCTTTCTTGATCTCTTTGCTTAAAAATACTACAATTTCCCCAAACTCACTATCTTCTCTTGCTGGGGGCTTCTGTAACAAAGTACCACAAATTGTGTGGCTGAAGACAATAGAATGGATTATCCCTCAGTTCTTGAAAACTGGGAGTCTAAGAGCCATGCTCCCTGTGAAACCAGAGCGGCCACCCTCGCCTCCTCCTGGCTCAGTGGAGTGGGCTGCCTGGGTCTCCTGGGCCGGCATCTGCCCAGCTCGCCTTCTCCCTGTGTGTGTCTGCTGTCACATGGCCACCTTCGCACCGGGACGCCCGTCACATTGGAGTAGGAGATGGTTCTACTCCATATGACCTCACCTTAATTAGCTACGTCTGTAGCTACGTCTGTTATGATCCCATTTCCAAATGAGGTAACATTCTCAGGTGCTGGGGATAGGGCTTCAATGCATCTTTTTTTTGGGGGGGGGAGAGGGCCCTAATTCAATCATAACACTCAACATCTCCTTTCCCACTCTGTTTCTCCAGAGTACATGGCACTATTCAACCAATCAAGCATTTTGTGGTTTTAAGTTTATTGTCTGCCTTCCCAGCCAAAATGTGGGCATCATGAAGGTAGGATTTTCACCGCTGTTGAGAACAGTGCTGGCACTTTAGAAAGGACTCAGGAGTTATTTGCTAAATTCATGATTGTCTGTGTTCAGTTAGTGCACTGAGCAGGCCACACAGTATTATATAAACAGGAACGATTAGATAAGAAAGTAATTACCTTTAAACACATCCTAGGAAAGGAGCAGGTGCTTGTAATTATGATCTTTTTATTTCAGAGAAGGTGAAGCAGAGGTGGCAGTCAGAGCCGCATTGAGTGGTTCGTGGGCAGGGTCTTTCTGGCCTCCTGTCAATCCTCTGCCCAGAGGCAGCTGGGGTGGGGCTCAGGGCTCTCACTGCCTGAGCATCTAGCTCGTGCCAGGAACTGTGCTCAGTACTTTGTCCTCATTTTTAAAAATGTATCCTCTTAGTAGAAATACCCATCACATGTTATGGCCACTTGATAGAGGTGGAAAGTGTATGAGATACAGAGATAGTAAGTGGTTTGCTAAGGATTTAAACTCAGGCCAGTTGGACCAACAGGGGATCTGTTCCTTCCATTGTCAGATCCCCTCAGAGTCTGTGGACACCAGGGTTTCAAAGCCAAGGAAGAAAAGTGACCCACAGAATACTCTTCGCACAGATGGTTTGGCCCAGACCACCACAAAGCTGGAGAACTCTCCGTACTCATGGGTCAGCCTCATCTTTTTGCACAACAGAAAGTCCCAGTGCCGGGACTGGTAACTCAGAGGCAGGGCAGGAATGCAGAGAACAGTCCTAGAGCGGAAATGGGAAGACGGAATGTCCAGGCTCCATTCTGTCTCTCTCTTATGTGACCTGGTGTAGGCCGCCTAAGCTAGGCTTGAACTACAATCTCTCTCACGCAGAATAATTTCCTACCTTCAGACATCATCTGTGGCCTGTGGCCTGTCCTTTTACCCACACCAGTGCAGCTGCTAACTCTGTCTGCGAAGGGAATGCGCCAGAGGAATTGGACCTAGAAGCCATCCAGATCTCTGCTGAAATCTCTTGCGTTTGGTGTAGGTGTCCCAGGACCACCCACTTGCCTCTGCCCTCTGGGAAAGCTTTCCACATCCTGCCACTGAGCACCGAGGAGGTAACAGTAGTTGAAGAGGTAGCATTTATTTACTTTTACATTTTTAACAGAGTTTTGTTATAATTGATAGACTATGGGCATCCTTGTAATTGTAAACATAAATTAGAGCTTTTCTCAGGGTGTAATTCCCTCTGAGAATTAACCCTCTCTCCACTCTATTTGTAGCTGCCATTTTAAGAATGGGGTGTAAATATTATGTCAGGTTAGTGCCTTCATGTTTTGAAGGAACCAGGTAGCCTGTTACCTGGTTGACATGTTGTTACATTATTTCCCTCCTCCCACCCCTCCCCCCCGGCCCAGACAGCGATACATGTTTAATAATTGGTATGTATAAAGTCAGGTTAAACAGTTAAGGTCAGGTTGTTATGCTCTGCATGGCTTTGAGAATGATCGTGGAATTGGAATGAAACAGGTAGCATCAGGAGACTGCTTCTGACATGAAACACATCACTGAAAGCAGCATGGGCCTGGCCTTGGCCAGAGTAAATCCTAGAGGCCTGTGTTAGCAACAATCAAGGATAAAGCTTATCAAAAGCCTTGAAGAGAGGGCAAACTAGTCCCTTGTCTTCCTGTGTCTTTGAATGGTTTCATTGGCTACCTTGAGTATGCAGAAATGAGCTAATGTGGTGAAATTTCCCCAGCATGATGTCAATAGGCTGCTTTCGTAATCCCGCCTGGATTTCATGCGCACATACACACTCCTGTCCCTTTCTGTCACCCCTTCTCATCTTCTCTCCCTTAGCAGGAGTTCCCACTGTGAGGTCTCAGCAAACAGTTTCACACATTTAGTAAGTGCAGACACTGAGCAGCCCCTGCGCCAGCTCACAAAGGTTCTGCATTCCTTTGGTTGCTTCCAGTCAAGATCTTGGCTGCGGCTTCCACTGTACATTGCCTGCCTACTAATGGTTGACCATGTCTTCCCTTCCATTCCACAGACACACCCTTGGGTTTATACAAAGTTTACAAGTTAGGCAGGATTGCTCCTAGAATTTATAAGCCTGTGAGACATGGCTGCATCTTCTAGAAGTATCACCAAATGCAGATTGTGGTGGGAGGAGGTAGTGTCTTTACTCCTTAACGTGCCTGATTCCTCTCTGCTGAACCACCTGCCTCCTTAGAGTTTGCCTGGGAAACAGAAGGTGTGAAGAGAGTAAGTATGGTGACATGGAACCCTGGTATCACAGCCTCTTTACTGGAGTCTCTGCATGGAATTTCTTGGTCTTGTGCTATTGTTCTGGCTATTGTTTTTAAGTCATGGAGCAA